GGAAGATTCCGGCAACGCAATGAAAAACATTAACAATGGTGAAAAAGAAAAACGATGAATTATATCGTTAATAACTTGAACAGATTACATCAATCTTACCGGACTGCATGTGTAGAGATATCAAGAATTGTGCGTGCCAAATTCAGACGAGATCTGAGCAACTGCCACGCCAAGCAGAACTGATTGTCATTAAACAATAGAGGAATTTACTTTGGACTTTTTCAATTGACGGTTCGCATGAAAGGCAGTAACGACCAGCAGTGAAGCAATGAATCTTACTGTCTACACTGGCCAACTAATATTAGCTACGGTTACATAGGAAGAGTCATACATATAACAGTGTCCCCTGTACTCAGAGTTTTGCGAGTGATGGATTCGCCTCAAATTGCAGTAAAGGATGCAAAGCATTACTCCCCAACCAACGCATTGTTCGGTTCTGCTTTCGTACACGGCGAGGCCGTCCGCAAGCTTCAAGAGAAGGTCACCAGCTCCGATACCTCCGAGCAAGCGCAGGAACAGTCTCAGTGGTCGATATTCTGAGCCTCAAACTCATACAGACACGACAGTGAGTGAGTTCCAGTCGAAACTTTTTCTGGAAGGCAAACCAACTACACTCTTACGGTAAAACCGCGAAACGGTCAAGACTGGTTCCGGTTTTTCCACCAGAACGTCGTTTGACCGGAGACACGACCTCCTTTTTGCCATTACCCTCGTGGTCAGGTTCAGAGCATTAACTGGTCTGCATACAGCGTTGCGTTCGAAACCACTTCCGTTCCGGGCGCGGACGGCATTTATATGCAAGAGCTTTCACAAGCCTCTCTTGTAGCCTATTTGCCAGATTAATCGGCCAGAACAGTTGACAGCTAACTCTGACAAACTGTACGTCAATCAATATAAAAAACGCACTTTACAACTAGTCGCACTTTACAATACGGTGTTCAAGTGTGGAATGAGGTTGCCTCAACGCATAACGGTCTGCTTCTCCCTCGCGAGACTGACAGTCTCCTACGGTGACTAGCATGATCCACACGCTTAACATATATCAGAAGTACTATGTAACATTAGTTACTGGGCGGAGCGGTGAACGAAAGTGAGGGCGGTTGTTGATGAGCACACCGACAAGCGAACAAAACCCAAGTAGTTTACAGCATTTGACGACAATTAAATTCATGGCAAATAAACACTGGTTTTGCGCGCGTGTTAACAGATTATCCAACTTCATATTTTCCTGAAGTGATGTCGCTACAGCGCCTCGAAACAGGAAGTTCTGACTTACTGCGCACCATTCACGTTGATTTTCAATGGAATGGCGATATGCGAAATGCTTCGATGCTTATATTCATAATCGGAAACTGAGTTCCATGCGTCGTGGTCATCATTTCCCAACTACAGGCAATCGTCAGTCGCCGATTTCAGACACAGTCAGGTAAAAGTGATCATTAAATACAGGGAAAACGCTGACAATGCTAGACATCAGATCTTCCAATGTTCAATAGGACCAAGGCGAATTAGCTGGTAGGCGAACCTCTCGGTTCCCGATTTGAGCCCTGGTCGTATCACTCACCTAATTTCCTTCCAGTGCTGATAAATGAGCACCACAGTGAGATGGAAACAGG